TCCCTCTCCCCGGCCCCCCCCCCCGGCGACACCCCTGTCCCTGTCGCTGTCCCTGTCCCCCCGCCCCGGTGACACCCCTGTCCCTGTCCCTGTCCCCCCACCCCGGTGACACCCCTGTCCCTGTCGCTGTCCCCATGCCCCAGTGACACCACTGTCCCTGTCCCTGTCCCTGTCCCTGTCCCTGTCCCTGTCCCCCGCCCCGGTGACACTGTCCCCGTGCTGTCCCCAGCACGTGGTGCAGTGCGTGTTCGTGGCCATCCGCACCATCGGGAACATCATGATCGTCACCACGCTGCTGCAGTTCATGTTCGCCTGCATCGGGGTGCAGCTCTTCAAGGTGACCCCGCGGGTCCCCACCCCCTCTGAGGGGTCCCCACCCCCCCAGGGGGCCGAGGGTCCCCCTGACCCCCCGATCCCCCCAGGGCAAGTTCTACAGCTGCACTGACGAGGCCAAGCACACGCCAGGAGAGTGCAAGTGAGCGTCACCCCCACAATGACCCCAAACTGAGCCCTGCGCCTCAACTCCTGACCCCCAGCCACCCCAGCGGTGTCCCCATGGTGTCCCACCCCCCCTGCTGGTGGCAGTGTCCCATTGGGGTCTCACCATTGCTGTCCCAGTGGTGTCCCTGTGGCCCCCCAGTCAGTGGCAGTGTCCAGGGGGTGTCTGACCCTCGCTGTCCCTGTGTCCCCATCCCAGGGGGACATTCCTGGTGTCCAAGGACAGGGACATGTCCCACCCCTCAGTGGTGGCAGTGTCCAGGGGGGTGTCTCTTGCTGTCCCCATGCGGTGTCCTCGTGTCCCCATCCCAGGGGGACATTCCTGGTGTCCAAGGACGGGGACATGTCCCACCCTCCAGTCAGTGGCAGTGTCCCATGGGGGCTGGGGTCTCACCCTCGCTGTCCTCGTGTCCCCATCCCAGGGGGACATTCCTGGTGCCCAAGGACAGGGACATGTCCCACCCCTCAGTGGTGGCAGTGTCCCATAGGGGCTGAGGTCTCACCCTTGCTGTCCCTGTGTCCCCATCCCAGGGGGACATTCCTGGTGTAAAAGGCCAGGGATCTGTCCCACCCCCCAGTCAGTGGCAGTGTCTGGGGGGTGTCTCACCCTCGGTGTCCTCGTGTCCCCATCCCAGGGGGACATTCCTGGTGTAAAAGGCCAGGGATCTGTCCCACCCCCCAGTCAGTGGCAGTGTCTGGGGGGTGTCTCACCCTCGGTGTCCTCGTGTCCCCATCCCAGGGGGACATTCCTGGTGTAAAAGGCCAGGGATCTGTCCCACCCCCCAGTCAGTGGCAGTGTCTGGGGGGTGTCTCACCCTCGGTGTCCTCGTGTCCCCATCCCAGGGGGACATTCCTGGTGTAAAAGGCCAGGGATCTGTCCCACCCCCCAGTCAGTGGCAGTGTCTGGGGGGTGTCTCACCCTCGCTGTCCTCATGTCCCCATCCCAGGGGGACATTCCTGGTGTACAAGGATGGGGACGTGTCCCACCCGTCGGTCCGGGAGCGCCTCTGGCTCAACAGCGACTTCAACTTCGACAACGTCCTGGCGGGGATGATGGCCCTGTTCACCGTGTCCACCTTCGAGGGGTGGCCCGCGTGAGTCCCGGGGCGGGCACGGGGACACTGCCACCCCCACGGGGACACCCCAGCACCGTGTCCCCCCCAGGCTGCTGTACAAGGCCATCGACGCCAACGCCGAGAACCAGGGGCCCATCTACAACTACCGCGTGGAGATCTCCATCTTCTTCATCGTCTACATCATCGTCATCGCCTTCTTCATGATGAACATCTTCGTGGGCTTCGTCATCATCACCTTCCGCGCGCAGGGCGAGAGCGAGTACCGCAACTGCGAGCTCGACAAGAACCAGGTGTGGGGACAGGCTGGCTATGGCCCTGATGTGTCCCCGTGGCCTTGTGGTGTCCCCATGGTCCTGCTGTGTCCCCATGGCCCTGCCGTGTCCCCGTGGCCCTGTGGTGTCCCCATGGTCCTGCTGTGTCCCCATGGCCCTGCCGTGTCCCCGTGGCCCTGCCGTGTCCCCTTGGCTCTGCAGTGTTCCCATGGCCCTGTGGTGTCCCCTTGGCTCCGTGGTGTCCCCATGGCCCTGCCATGTCCCCTTGGCTCCATGATGTCCCCATGGCCCTGCATGGCCCTGCCGTGTCCCCTTGGCCCTGCCGTGTCCCCTTGGCTCTGCTGTGTCCCCATGGCCCTGCTGTGTCCCCTTGGCTCTGCTGTGTCCCCATGGCCCTGCCGTGTCCCCTTGGCTCTGCTGTGTCCCCTTGGCTCTGCTGTGTCCCCATGGCCCTGCCGTGTCCCCTTGGCTCTGCTGTGTCCCCTTGGCTCTGCTGTGTCCCCATGGCCCTGCCGTGTCCCCTTGGCCCTGCCGTGTCCCCTTGGCTCTGCTGTGTCCCCATGACCCTGTTGTGCCCCATGCCCCTGCTGTGTCCCCTTGGCTCTGCAGTGTCCCCATAACCCTGTGATGTCCCTATGCTGTCCCTGCGCTGTCCCCATGTCCCCACAGTGGCAGTAGGTGAGGTAGCAGTGGGATGGCAGTGGGGTGGCCGTGGCCCCACACTGTCCCCACGCTGTCCCACACTGTCCCTGCAGCAGCAGTGTGTGGGATGGCAGTGGGGTGCCCATGTCCCCACGCTGTCCCCACACTGTCCCCTGTCCCCACAGCGGCAGTGTGTGGGGTGGAGGTGGGATGGCAGTGGGGTGGCCATGTCCCTGCTCTGTCCCCACACTGTCCCCACGCTGTCCCCGCAGCGGCAGTGTGTGGGATGGCAGTGGGGTGGCCATGTCCCTGCTCTGTCCCCACACTGTCCCCACGCTGTCCCCGCAGTGCACGCTGTCCCCGCAGCGGCAGTGCGTGGAGTACGCGCTGAAGGCGCAGCCGCTGCGCCGTTACATCCCCAAGAACCGCACCCAGTACCGCGTGTGGGCCATGGTCAACTCCACCGCCTTCGAGTACATCATGTTCGTGCTCATCCTGCTCAACACCATCGCCCTGGCCGTGCAGGTGGGGGGGACACCTGGGGGGGCAGGGGGGTCACAGAGGGGACAGTGCCAGACCCCCGTGTCCCCCCTCCCCAGCACTACGAGCAGTCCAAGCCCTTCAACTACGTGATGGACCTGCTCAACATGGTGTTCACGGGGCTCTTCACCGTGGAGATGGTGCTCAAGATCATCGCCTTCAAACCCCGGGTACGCCACAGGGGGGTCACGGGGGGTCACACAAGGGGGGGGTCACAGACAGGGGGTCCTCACCACCTCCCCCCCACCCCAGCATTACTTCTGTGATGCCTGGAACACCTTTGATGCCCTCATCGTGGTGGGCAGCGTGGTGGACATCGCCGTCACCGAGGTCAACGTGAGTGGCCCTCCTTGTCCCCTGGCTCAGGGGGAGTTGATGTTTTGGGGTGGTCCTGGATGTCTGGGTCTCTCCCTGGTCCATGTCCTCATGTCCATCTGTCTGTCTCCATCATCTCCATCATTTCCATTTCCATCATTTCCATCTCCATCATCTTCATCCATCTCCACCGTCCATCTGCCTGTCACAGAACGGGGGGCACGTTGGTGAGGTACGGGGAGGTGTCCCCAGCTGGGGGATTTCTGGGGGGGCTGTGCAGGGGTTTTGGGGTGCCCCTGACCCCCCCTCCCCGCAGAGCTCGGAGGACAGCTCCCGCATCTCCATCACCTTCTTCCGGCTCTTCCGCGTGATGCGCTTGGTGAAGCTGCTCTCCAAGGGCGAGGGCATCCGCACCCTGCTCTGGACCTTCGTCAAATCCTTCCAGGTGGGATGGGGGGGACGTGGTGGGGGACACGGGGGAGAGGGGACATGGAGGGGGGACCCCCAGCGCCCCCTCACCCCTGCTCTGTCCCCAGGCCCTGCCCTACGTCGCTCTGCTCATCGCCATGATCTTCTTCATCTACGCCGTCATCGGGATGCAGGTGAGGGGCCTGGGGCAGGTGAGGGGTCCTGGGGGGCCGGGGGGGCTCTGGGCTTCTCATGGGACTTTGGAGCTTCCTCTCAGTGAATCATGAAGGGGGTTACAGGTGTGCCCAGGGGTACAGGTGTGCAGTGGGGGGCACACAGGTGTGTCACAGGAGTACAGGTGTGCCATGGGGATACAGGTGTGTCACAGGGATACAGGTGTCCTGTGGGAGGGTACAGGTGTGTCCCAGGGGTACAGGTGTGCCCAGGGGTGCAGGTGTGCCATGGGGACACAGGTGTCCTGTGGGAGGGTACAGGTGTGTCCCAGGGGTACAGGTGTGCCCAGGGGTGCAGGTGTGCCATGGGGACACAGATTTGTCACAGGGGTACTGGGGTGCCCCGGGGGTACAGGTGTGGCCTAGGGGTACAGGTGTGCCATGGGGATACAGGTGTGTCACAGGGATACAGGTGTCCTGTGGGAGGGTACAGGTGTGTCCCAGGGGTACAGGTGTGCCCAGGGGTGCAGGTGTGCCATGGGGACACAGATTTGTCACAGGGGTACTGGTGTGCCCCGGGGGTACAGGTGTGTCCTTCATCGCCATGATCTTCTTCATCTACGCCGTCATCGGGATGCAGGTGAGGGGCCTGGGGCAGGTGAGGGGTCCCGGGGGGGTGTGAGGGGCGTGTCCTGTGAGCCCCCGGCCCCCTCTGTCCCCCCCAGACCTTCGGGAAGGTGGCGCTGCAGGACGGGACCCAGATCAACCGCAACAACAACTTCCAGACCTTCCCCCAGGCCGTGCTGCTGCTCTTCAGGTGGGGACTACAGGTGTGCCCAGGGGTGCAGGTGTGCCCCGTGGGCTGCAGGTGTGCCACGGGGGAGGCGTGGCAGGAGATCATGCTGGCCAGCCTGCCGGGCAAGCGCTGCGACCCCGAGTCGGACGCGGGCCCGGGGGAGGAGTTCACCTGCGGCAGCAACTTCGCCATCGCCTACTTCATCAGCTTCTTCATGCTCTGCGCCTTCCTGGTGAGACACGGGGCCCTGCCCCACGGCCCCCGCACTGCCCCACACCCCTCAGGACCCCCACGGCCATCCTGACCCCCCTGACCCCCCAGATCATCAACCTGTTCGTGGCTGTCATCATGGACAACTTTGATTACCTGACGCGTGACTGGTCCATCCTGGGCCCGCACCACCTGGACGAGTTCAAGCGCGTGTGGTCCGAGTACGACCCCGCAGCCAAGTGTGTGACTGTCCCCTTGTCCCCATCCGGGGGGTGGCCAGGTGTCTGGACCACCCGTGACCTCCTGTCCCCCTCCCCAGGGGCCGCATCAAGCACCTGGACGTGGTGACGCTGCTGCGCCGCATCCAGCCCCCGCTGGGCTTCGGGAAGCTCTGCCCACACCGTGTGGCCTGCAAGGTTTGGGGGGGGGTCCTGGGGGGATTTGGGGTGCTCCAGTGGGGAGCCACCCAGATTCACCGGCCTCTTGTCCCCTGCCAGCGCCTGGTGGCCATGAACATGCCCCTCAACTCGGACGGGACCGTCACCTTCAACGCCACGCTCTTCGCTCTGGTCCGCACCTCCCTCAAGATCAAGACGGAAGGTGGGGAGCTGGCAGGGTCTGGAGGGGGCAGGGGACAGCAGGGGGTGACAGCCATGGCTGCGTGTCCCCACTCCCTGCAGGGAACCTGGATGTGGCCAACAAGGAGCTTCGGGCTGTGGTGAAGAAGATCTGGAAGAGGACGAAGCCGAAGCTGCTGGACGAGGTCATCCCCCCGCCCGAGGGTGCGTGAGGGCCGTGTCCCCTCCCCTGTCCCCTCAGACCCCCGGCTGTCCCCTGACCCTCCGTGTCCCCCAGAGGAGGAGGTCACCGTCGGGAAGTTCTACGCCACCTTCCTGATCCAGGACTATTTCCGCAAGTTCCGGCGGCGGAAGGAGCGCGGGATGCTGGGTGCCAACGCAGGCCCCAGCAACGAGTGTGCGCTGCAGGTGCGGCACCCCGGGCGGGGCTGGGGGTCCCCGGTGTCACCAGGTGACCCCCCTGACCCTCCTGCGTCCCCCAGGCCGGGCTGCAGACGCTGCAGGCGCTGGGCCCTGAGATGCGCCGGGCACTGAGTGACCTGGAGGGGGACGAGGGCGGGGACGCCCCTTCCGAGGAGCCACTCACCTACGCAGTGAGCCACGCCCACTGAACACACCCTTCCTTTGGCCACGCCCACCGACCACACCCTTCCTTTGGCAATGCCCATCGACCACACCTTTCCTTTGGCCACGCCCACCGACAGCACATTTATCTTTGCCACGCCCACCGGCCTCACCTGTCCCACCCTGGCCACGCCCACAGACCACATCTGCCCCAAAGTCACTCCAAATGGCCACACCTGTCCTGTGGCCACGCCCACCGGCCACACCTGTCCAAAATCCACACCGAATGCCCGCACCTGTGCCGTGGCCGCGCCCACCGACCCGCCTCTCTCCGCAGGCCCCCGAGACGCTCTACGGCTCCGCGCCCGGCTCCCCCCTGCTCTCGGAGCCGCCCCCCGCCCCCAGCCCCGCGCCCACCGAGGGGGAGGACCCCGCGCCCCCCTCTCACGGGGGAGCCCCCCGCCCTGGCGGCAGGTACGGGGGGCTGGGGACACCCCGACACGGGGCGGGGGTCCCGGGGCGGACGGGGGGTGCTCACGGCCCTGTGCGCAGGCGGCGCTCCGACGGGGGGGACCAGGAGGAGGAAGCCCCCGGCGAGGATGCGGAGGAGCCGGGAGGGGAGCCGGGGGACGTCAGCCACGACGAGGAGCTGGAGAGCTCGGCCGCGGCCCGGCGCCGCTGGGTCGGGGACAGGTACCGCGACCCCCGAGCCTCGGGGGGGATCCCCATCTGGAGAGGTCCCTGCCTCTGGGGAGGGGGGTCCCGTCAGCCCTGAGGCTGTGCCCGTGCCAGGCTGCCGGGACCCCCGAAAGCGGGGGGTGTCTCTGTGACTGGGGAGGGGGCACTGGAGGGACCTGTCCCCCCCTGACCCCGCTGGGTCCCCCCGCGCTGGGAGGTGTCCCAGGGGATGTCCCCAGCCCGGACTGACCCCCTTGTTCCCCGCAGGGCGCCGGGACCCCCGCGCTGGGCGGCGGAGCTGCCCCGGGGGGGGTCGCTGCCGCTGCCCCCCCGGCACTTCGCGTTCGGCAGCGGCGCTCGCGAGGGGCAGCAGCTGAAACGGCGCCGGCTCCTGCCCCCCACCCCCGCGGGTACGGCGGGGCCGGGGGGCAAAGGGGGGGCCGGGGCCTCCAGCGAGACCCTCCGTGATCGCAGCCGGCAGCGCTGACAGAGTCCCCCCGTAGCCCGGGGCAGTTCCCCGGTAGCCCCTGAAGGTGCCCCGCTGATGGTGGGGGGAGATGACGCTCCGTGGTGCCCCGATGGGGAGGGGGGTGTCCCGCAGTACCCCAGGAAGGATCCCTGATAGGGGGGGTGACCCCTCCCCGTGCCCCCGGCTGCCCCCGAGGGTTCCTAGAGCCGGGGGGGACTCTGCCCTGTGCCCTCGATAGCCCAGAGGGCTCCTGCCCGGTGCCCGTGAGGGTCCCTGGCTGAGGGGGTGACCCTGCCCGGTTCCCGGAGGGTCCCTGGCCGGGAGCTGACCCTGCCCGGTGCCTGAAGGGTCCCTGGCTGAGTGGGTGACTCTGCCCGGTTCCCGGAGGGTCCCTGGCCAGGGTGGGTGACGCTGTCCGGTTCCCGGAGGGTCCCTGGCCAGGATGGGTGACCCTGCCCGGTTCCCGGAGCGTCCCTGGCCGGGGGCTGACCCTGTCCGGTTTCCAGAGGGTCCCTGGCCGGGGGCTGACCCTGCCCGCTGCCCCCCAGGCCGGAAGCCCTCCTTCACCATCCAGTGCCTGCGGCGGCAGGGTAGCTGCGAGGACGAGCCCATCCCGGGCACTTACAACCCCTCGGGCCCGCCCGGCCCCGCCCGCCCGCAGGTACTGCTGGAGCTGGGACAGACAGACGGGCAGGGGGGACACTGTGACAGCGCCACCCCCGCGCTGACCCCCTCCCGCCCGCAGGGCTACGGCAGCTCCGAGACCTGGCGCCTGGGGGGCTCCTCGCAGGCCTGGGCGGCCCCGGCCCGCGGGCACGTTCTGTACGCGCCGCTCATCCTGGTGGAGGGGGCTCCGGCGGCGGGGCCGGGCGGCAGCCTGCCCCCCCTCAACCGCTGGTTCCCCCCCGCGCCGCTGCGCCTGCGGCCCTGCGGGCCCCACGACGCGCTGGCCCGGGGCTCGGCCGACAGCCTGGTGGAGGCCGTGAGTGGGGGGACGTGGGGGGGATTTGGGGTGACATGGCTCGGCCAGCAGCCAGGGGGAGGGTGTGAGTGGGGGGACGTGGCAGGGACATGGGGGGGACTTGGGGGGCACATAGAGTGACATGGCTCGGCCGGCAGTCTGGGGGAGGCCATGAGGGAGGGACACCCCATGGCTTGGCCAACAGCCTGGTGGAGGCAGTGAGTAAGGAGAGGGACACAGGCACGCCCCCGGTGCCGGTGCCAGCGCCTCCCCCTCGCCCCCCACAACCCAGGTGCTGATCTCGGAGGGGCTGGGGCTGTTCGCCCGCGACCCCAAGTTCGTGGCGGTGGCCAAGCGCGAGATCGCGGACGCGTGCGACATGACGATGGACGAGATGGAGAGCGCGGCCGCGGACCTGCTGACCCGGCGCCGCGCCCCGCCCGCGCCCACGCCCGCCGTCTACAGCGACGAGGAACCGCTGCGGCCGCCGGCGGAGGAGGAGCTGGCGGACGAGATGGGCTGGGCCGGCGGCGTCTAGAACCCGGCACCGCGGAGCGGGGACGGCTCTAGAACCCGGCACCGCGAGTGTGGGCAGGCCGGCTCTAGATCCCGGGGTTGTGAGGCGGGCTCTAGAACCCGGCACCGCGAGTGTGGGCAGGCCGGCTCTAGAACCCGGGGTTGTGAGGCGGGCTCTGGAACCCGGCACCGCGAGTGTGGGCAGGCCGGCTCTAGATCCCGGGGTTGTGAGGCGGGCTCTAGAACCCGGCACCGCGAGGGTGGGCAGGCCGGCTCTAGAGCCCGGGGTTGTGAGGCGGGCTTTAGAACCCGGCACCGCGAGTGTGGGCAGGCCGGCTCTAGATCCCGGGGTTGTGAGGCGGGCTCTAGAACCCGGCACCGCGAGTGTGGGCAGGCCGGCTCTAGAACCCGGGGTTGTGAGGCGGGCTCTGGAACCCGGCACCGCGAGTGTGGGCAGGCCGGCTCTAGATCCCGGGGTTGTGAGGCGGGCTCTAGAACCCGGCACCGCGAGTGCGGGCAGACCGGATCTAGAACCCGTGACGTTTTCCCTCAGAAAAAGGACGTGAGGGCGGCTCTAGAACCCGTGACATTTTCCCTCAGAAAAAGGACGTGAGGGCGGCTCTAGAACCCGTGGGACGTGAGGGCCGCTCTAGAACCCGGCCTCGCAAGGCCGCCCGCGGTTGATCTAGAACGCGGCTCTAGAACCCGGCACCGACACCGGACCTCGTGGGGGGCAATGTTACCTCAGGAAAAAAAGGGATTTTTATCAAAAAGTTTCGATTTTTTTCCTCACACAAGGAGGGGTTTATTCTGGAAAAGGGGTATTTGCCTCAGGGATGGGGTTTTTTTCCTGAAAAAGGTGGGTTTTTTCCCTCAGGAAAAGGGGTATTTGCCTCAAAAAAAGGAAGTTTTTACTCAAAATCAAGAAGTGTGTTTTCCTTCAAAATAACCAAGCTGTGTTTTCCTAAGGGAAAGGAAGGGTTCCTCAAAAAAGGAAGGGATTTACCTAAAAAAAAGTATTTTTTTTTCTTCTGGAACAGAAATATGCGTTGGGGTGGGGGGGAGTAGAATCAGAAAATTAATTTTTTCCTCAGAAAAAGGGGTATTTACCTCAAAAAGATTTTTTCCTCAAGAAACCCACTCCAAACATAACCGCAAACAAACTACTTTTTCCTCAAAAAGGACGTTCTTGCTCAAAAAAAAAAAGGGATTTTGCCTCAATTTAGAAAAACCAGGGAGTTACATAAAAAATATAAAGAGGGGTTTACCTCAGAAAAAAAAAAAAAAGGAGGTGTTCTCTAGAAAAAGCTTATTTACTTTAAATTTGCTGTTCAGAGGAGGATTTTCCTCAGGAAAAGGTATGTTTACCTCAAAAAAATTAGGAGTTTTATCTCAGGAAAAGAGACATTTACCTCCTGGCGATGGTGAATTGTTCTCAAAAAGGAATATTCCCTTTTGAAAAGGGATAATTACCTAAAAAAAAAATCCTTTAAAAAGAGTTTTGCCTAAAAAAGAAGTTTTCTATTCCAAGAAAATGAGGTGTTTTCCCCTCAAAAATGAAGTTTTGCCTCATGAAAAGCGAGATTTACAACCAAAAAGGAGGGACTGCCAAAAAGAAAAAAAAAAAAGCGGGGGGGGGGGGTTTTTACATCAGGAAAAAGGATTTTGTCACCTCAGAAAAGGTAAATTTTACATTACAAAGGAAGCATTTAAGAGGAATTTTCACCTCAGAAATGGGGATTTTTACCTCAAAAAGGAGGATTTTTATCTCCAAAAAAGCAGAATTTACCTCAAGCAAGGGAGTTCTACTGCAAATAGAGGAATATTAACACCGAGGAGGATTTTACCTCACACAGTTGAGTTTTAAATCAGGAAAAAAAAAAAAAAAGGATTTTTTTTTTCTGAGAAAAAGTGAATTTTACCTCACAAAAGGGGTTTTACCTGAGAGGGGGATTTTATCTTAGGAACGGTAAATTTTACCTCAGAGACAAAGGCTGTATCTGAAGAAAGGTGAATGTTTTACTTCAGAAAGAGTAAAATTTACCCCATGAAACAGGGTTTAACTGGAAGAAAAAGCACTTTTCACCTCAAGGAGGGGAATTTTACCTCAGAAAAGGGGTTTTTACCCAAGGAAAGGTAAATTTTGCCTCACAAAAGAGGGTTTTACCTCAGGAAATAACATTTCACACCCCAGAAAGGGGGATTTTACCTCATGGAAGGGGTGTTTTACATCACAAAAGTGGTTTTTCCCTCAGAAAAAGTAAATTTTACCTCACAGAAGAGGGTTTTACCTCAGGAAAAAGCATTTCTGCCCTCAAGAAGGGGGGGGGACTTTACTTCAGAAAACTTTACCTCAGAAAACGGAAACCTTACCTCACTCACTGAAGAGGGTTTTACCTCATGAAAGTGTTCTTCCCTTCAGGAAGGATTTTATCTCAGGAGGGGGGTTTTTATCTCAGGAAATGTGAATTCTACCTCATAACTGAGAGGTTTACTTCAAGAAAGGGACATGTTTTACCTCATGGAAGACAGTTTTACCACAGAAAAGAACTTTTCACCTCGGGGAGGCAGATTTTGCCTCAGAAATGTAACATTTAACTCACTTAAAGAGGGTTTTACCTCATGAAAAAGCTTTGTTCTCTTCATGAAAGGGGCATTTTACCTCAGAAAAGTGGATTTTTACCTTAGAAAGGTAAATTTTACCTCACAGAATCGGGTTTTAGCTCATGAAACAACATGTCACATCTTAGAATGGGAAATTTTACGTCCGGAAAGGGGTGTTTTACCTAAGGGGGAAGGTTTTACCTTCAGACAAGAGGGTTTTTACCTCAGGAAAGGTAAATTTTACCTCACGGAAGCGCATTTTTCATCTCACGGAGGGGTTTTTCCCTCAGGACCGGGACTCGCTCCAGGGGAGGTTCCCGCGCCCGCCCGGGCCCCGCCCCTCGCGCGCGCCCATTGGTGGAGCCGGCGGCCAATGGGGAGGCGGCACCGCGAGCGCCCCCAGGAGGCTGCGCGGGGATTTGGGGGGGGGCGAACCCCAAAAACCCGAACCCCAAAAAGCCGAACCCCAAAACCCCGACCCCCCAAAAATCCCGAACCCCAAAAACCCGAACCCCCAAAACCCGAACCAGAAATATGCGTTGGGGTGGGGGGGAGTAGAATCAGAAAATTAATTTTTTCCTCAGAAAAAGGGGTATTTACCTCAAAAAGATTTTTTCCTCAAGAAACCCACTCCAAACATAACCGCAAACAAACTACTTTTTCCTCAAAAAGGACGTTCTTGCTCAAAAAAAAAGGGATTTTGCCTCAATTTAGAAAAACCAGGGAGTTACATAAAAAATATAAAGAGGGGTTTACCTCAGAAAAAAAAAAAAAGGAGGGGTTCTCTAGAAAAAGCTTATTTACTTTAAATTTGCTGTTCAGAGGAGGATTTTCCTCAGGAAAAGGTATGTTTACCTCAAAAAAATTAGGAGTTTTATCTCAGGAAAAGAGACATTTACCTCCTGGCGATGGTGAATTGTTCTCAAAAAGGAATATTCCCTTTTGAAAAGGGATAATTACCTAAAAAAAAAATCCTTTAAAAAGAGTTTTGCCTAAAAAAGAAGTTTTCTATTCCAAGAAAATGAGGTGTTTTCCCCTCAAAAATGAAGTTTTGCCTCATGAAAAGCGAGATTTACAACCAAAAAGGAGGGACTGCCAAAAAGAAAAAAAAAAAGGGGGGGGATTTTACATCAGGAAAAAGGATTTTGTCACCTCAGAAAAGGTAAATTTTACATTACAAAGGAAGCATTTAAGAGGAATTTTCACCTCAGAAATGGGGATTTTTACCTCAAAAAGGAGGATTTTTATCTTCAAAAAAAGCAGAATTTACCTCAAGCAAGGGAGTTCTACTGCAAATAGAGGAATATTAACACCGAGGAGGATTTTACCTCACACAGTTGAGTTTTAAATCAGAAAAAAAAAAAAAAGGATTTTTTTTTCTGAGAAAAAGTGAATTTTACCTCACAAAAGGGGTTTTACCTGACAGGGGGAGGGATTTTATCTTAGGAATGGTAAATTTTACCTCAGAGACAAAGGCTGTATCTGAAGAAAGGTGAATGTTTTACTTCAGAAAGAGTAAAATTTACCCCATGAAACAGGGTTTAACTGGAAGAAAAAGCACTTTTCACCTCAAGGAGGGGAATTTTACCTCAGAAAAGGGGTTTTTACCCAAGGAAAGGTAAATTTTGCCTCACAAAAGAGGGTTTTACCTCAGGAAATAACATTTCACACCCCAGAAAGGGGGATTTTACCTCATGGAAGGGGTGTTTTACATCACAAAAGTGTTTTTTCCCTCAGAAAAAGTAAATTTTACCTCACAGAAGAGGGTTTTACCTCAGGAAAAAGCATTTCTCCCCTCAAGAAGGGGGGGGGACTTTACTTCAGAAAACTTTACCTCAGAAAACGGAAACCTTACCTCACTCACTGAAGAGGGTTTTACCTCATGAAAGTGTTCTTCCCTTCAGGAAGGATTTTATCTCAGGAGGGGGGTTTTTATCTCAGGAAATGTGAATTCTACCTCATAACTGAGAGGTTTACTTCAAGAAAGGGACATGTTTTACCTCATGGAAGACAGTTTTACCACAGAAAAGAACTTTTCACCTCGGGGAGGCAGATTTTGCCTCAGAAATGTAACATTTAACTCACTTAAAGAGGGTTTTACCTCATGAAAAAGCTTTGTTCTTTTCATTAAAGGGGCATTTTACCTCAGAAAAGTGGATTTTTACCTTAGAAAGGTAAATTTTACCTCACAGAATCGGGTTTTAGCTCATGAAACAACATGTCACATCTTAGAATGGGAAATTTTACGTCCGGAAAGGGGTGTTTTACCTAAGGGGGAAGGTTTTACCTTCAGACAAGAGGGTTTTTACCTCAGGAAAGGTAAATTTTACCTCACGGAAGCGCATTTTTCATCTCACGGAGGGGTTTTTCCCTCAGGACCGGGACTCGCTCCAGGGGAGGTTCCCGCGCCCGCCCGGGCCCCGCCCCTCGCGCGCGCCCATTGGTGGAGCCGGCGGCCAATGGGGAGGCGGCACCGCGAGCGCCCCCAGGAGGCTGCGCGGGGATTTGGGGGGGGGCGAACCCCAAAAACCCGAACCCCAAAAAGCCGAACCCCAAAACCCGAACCCCCAAAAAGCCGAACCCCCAAAAATCCTG